AAAAAAAAATTAGATCAAAGTCCAAAACTAGAAACCTCAATGAACAATTATTAATGAAGAATCTTCTTTAACGATGGGGGACAGATGGCTGACCAAAATGGTTTTAGAAGTCAAACAAAGCTAGCCATCACAAACAAAATTCAGCACTCCCCCATTATTTGAGGCAAACAGAATACATTTCTATTCCTTAAAAGCACCACAGGATCCAACTGAAAGAGCTTCCCACTGACCAAAGCTGAATAACAAAATGCATAAAATAATACTGAATTATAATATAAAGTATAACTATCCATAGTCCACACTGATATAAATAAATGCATGAGTAAATAAATGAGAGAAGACATGAATATCCTGTACAGAAGAACTCCAATCATGGATGTACATACTCTATCCTCAAAGAGGGGTAGTTTGCAGGGAGGGGACAGAGTTTCCCACTCCTTCAGTGTGGTCTGCACAGAGTGTCTTCCTTGCAAAGAATGAAGAAGTACGGGAAGGCAGCAGGTGGGAAAAGTAACTTGAGAGATGCCTGAGGAACACTGCCTCCGTCAGCTGTCAAGGTCAGTATCAGCAATCACAAATCATGCTGATCATTTGTATGCTTGATATAAGATGATGGAAATGACACTTTACCTCTGCAATCTTCCTATTAAAAAAAAAAAAAAACCTCACACCCCAGACTAATCATGAGAAAAAAAGCACACAAATTCCAACAGGAGAGCCTTCTATAATTTACCTGACCAGTGCTCTTCAAAACCATCAAGGTCATCAGAAGTCAGGAAAGCGAGAAATTGTCACAGCCAAGACGAACCTAAGGAGACTTGACAACTAAATATAATGTGGTACTTTGAATCTCACCCTGAAACCAAAAAAAAAAAAAAAAAGAATATTAGGTTAAACTAAGGAGATCTGAATAAACTATAGACCTTGGTTAATAATGTAGCAAGGCATTATCAGTTCATTATTTGTAACAAATCTACCATATGATTGTAAAATGTTCATTATAGGGAAATTGTCAGGAGGGATTATATGAAAGCTAGATTCTCAATATTTCTGTAAAATTTTAAATTATTCTAAAATATAAAGTCTGTTATAAAAAATAGTAATAATACAAATTTTTGGAGCTAACCACAAACTGTCTGCACCTAAGTCCATATCTTAGGATCTACTTTGGGAGAAACCCCAACAAGGAACACATGAAGTCATTGCATCATTGGTTGAATAAACTACAGTGTAGCCTGCTATATAATAATTTAAAACTGAGTTGAATCCTTACATGTTTAAATGGAAAAAAAAATCTCAAGAAACTTCCTAAAATATGATTCTCTCTCTATAAATGAATTACAGTAATACATGCATATGTGCTAGCATATGAATAATAATTTTTCTGAATATTTACATAAGAAAATTAATAGTGATTACCTCTGGGTAATGAAACGTCTCATGTGCCAGAGATATCACAGTGCTGGCAAACTGGCTCTCTGGAAAACAATAAAAAGCTCTGATTTGTAGCATGTGTTGATTTTCATGGTGTGAATAACACTCCATTCTATCATGTCTGATTTCAAGCGACCCATGACTTAACAGACTGAGAACAATTCTTGAATAACCACCCACTCTTGTGAGCCAAGGGTGGTTCATCTCCAATACACCATTGGGTGAAAATGTAAAATTGTTTTATAATTTTACTTGATAGTTGAATTTAATTTTTGAAATAACCTTTATTTCATAAAGAAAACTGTTGAGCACTGGCTAAGTTTTTCATTTCCAGTTCTTGGTTACACGTAGCCTTGGAAATAAGCCCAAGTCTGCATTCCCCGCCGCAAAGGAAATCAGTCAGCAGAGATCAAGATGAAGGAAATGTGCCCTTTTTATTCTCTTCCTCTCTGGGCTCTCATTAGAACTCATGTTTCCCAACCAAAAAAAAAAAAAAAAATCGAAGGTCAACATGCCATGAAGCTTCCTATGGGTACCTCCTTGTGCTCTTTACTTTATGAAGATGGAACACACTCGAAGGTGAAATCATAAACAGGAAGAGAAATGAGGAGCTCTGGGAAATGTAGACAGGGACATTGCAATTTATATGTCCATTTTCGTGACCCTGATGGTTTTTGAAAACTATCTCAGAGCCATTTTACTTTAGAGTGGCTACTATCCCCAGATAATAAATCAGGCAATGCCCTAACCCTCCTCAAAAGTATGTCTTCCTCTTGATTATGATTCAGCAGTAAAGAACACTTAATTAAAATCAGAAACCCCGCATTATCATCCTAACCCAGATGATATTGCCTGCAAAAGTCTGAGCAGATCTGTTACCCTCCCTGAGCCTCAGTTATCCTAGTCTATGAAATAAGAACTTTGAATTACAAGGTTCCTCAGAAACTCTTCGGTCTTAAAAAACTTACAATTCCATTATTTTTGGTGATTTAACTTACTTAAAAGCAGCTCACTCCTCCCAAGAACTCAGACCCTCTGAAATGTCTTTAGGTCCTATACAAAGAGAAATGGAAGTGCCAGCGCCTCTGTGTGGACAGCAGAGGAATAGCACCAGGGCCCAAGGCAACGAGAGGAACCACCCACAGCAGATACTGCAGCCTCAGAATCAGATGGGGCGTGGGAGACACTCCATCGGCACCATCAGTCCTGGACCCGAAGTCCCCACCTATGGGCAATGTTAATTCCTCTGGGACAACACAATGCCTCTCTCCTTTGTGTGTTTTTGATACTGGGGGTCCAACTCAGTAAGCTATATCCACTAAGCAACATCCCCAGCCTGATTTTGTAGTTATTTGGTTGGTTTGGTTTGGGGTTTTTTTTTTGCTGTTGTTTGATTGATTGATTGATTGATTGATTGATTGATTGATTGGTGATATTGTTTATATTTTATTTTGAGACATGGTCTTGCTAAGTTACTGAGGTTGACCTTGAACTTGCAATCCTCTTGCCTCAACCTCCACAGTCCTTGGGATCAGGAATCCTGATCCAGTTCCCAGATCACATTTGCCATTGCATCCTCAAAAATAGTCTTTCCAAGAGGTTCCACATTAAGATGGTTTTGTCCATCAGAAATGAACACAGTCTGAGCTTGGCTCTGAGCCACAGAGATACAAAAAGGGAGCGTGGAATCCTCAGGCTTCTCTTGACAGGGGAAGAGAGAGGGAGAGAGAAAGATGCCTAAAGGGTATGACATTATTACTGTGGTCCCTGGTGGCAAAGGAGCTTACAGTGAGATCGGAGAAGACTCCGACACGGGAAAAGGCCTTCAGAAGCTTTCCCAGCTGTAGCTTAAAAATCTCATAAGCATCAGATGACTCTTTACAAAGCCTAAGAGCTGTTCCCCTGAGGTTTGTGGGAGAAATGAAACAGTGAAGGAAAGTAATTTTCTCTAAGATCAGAGGCCTCACTCTGCCACCAGGATTTACGTTAGGGAGCGTAAATCCCTGGCAATAATCACCAAGATCTACGTGTCACTTTTCAGAATGTAAAATGCCTCTCGCTACGTTACCTAATCTGATTTTCATAACAAGCTGGGTTATTGATGTCACAGGAAAAGACTGGAGAGGTGAATGAGGAGCTCTGGGTGTGGCCCCAGACTCTACCACTCACCAGTTTGTGACTTGAATGAATTGTCTCAGGGTTGGGATTGCCTTCATTTGACAGATCAGGACACTGAGGCTCAGGTAAGCTAAGTGATGTGTCCCTACCAACAGGGACAACATGGAACAGCCTGGATGAATGAAGGCTTGACACAGCCGCTTCTTTATCGTAAAGCATAATTTTAACATGAAAAGGATAAAAAATAATATCCAAAGGCTGCAGTAGACAGAATGGGCAGAAAGGAAGGGCAACAGAGGTTAAGAAGATACGAGCTGGGTGCAGTGGCATGTGCCTGTAAAACCAGCAGCTCAGGAGGCCAAGGCAGGAGGATTGCAGGTTCAAAGCCAGCCTCAGCAACTTGGCAAGGCCCTGAGCAACTTAGCAAGACCCAGTCTCAGAATAAAAAATTAAAAGGGCTGGGGATTTGGCTCAGTGTGATTAAGCACCCCTGGGTCCAATCTCTGCTACGAAAAAAAAAATGATATAAAATCCATCACCCAAAAACGAACACAGGTTATTTATTAGAGAAATGGTTAAATGTGTGATTGTCTATTCAAGTGGAATCTCTTAAGAGCAAAATAAAAGGGTGAGCCTGGTTCACATCTGTCAGTCCTCCTGAACAAGTCTGGAAGAGGACCTGGAGTTGTCCAAGGGGTCATGACCCCCAACTGGTAAGTAACAGCCAGTTATCAAAGGTCTCCAAAGAGAGTAATTTAGACACTTCCTATGGTTCTGCCAGATACCTCATCTAGTCAAGAAGGACGGGAGCCCAGAAGTACAGAGACCAGCCACCTAAGAACTAATGAAATAATATTTCATTTTTATGTTAGACCTGCTTCCTCCAGGTTTATGGTTGCTTTTGTTGTTTGGTACTAGGGATGGGACGCAGGGACACCCTAACACTGAGCTACATCCTCAACACATTTTATTTTTTTAATTTTGAGACAGGGTCTCACTAAGTTGCTGAGGCTGGCCTTGAACTTGTGATCCTCCTGCCTCAGCTTCCTGGGTTGCTGGTATTACAGGCACGAGCTACAATGCTCAGCTCTGCCGAAAGGTTTTAAGTCATACCTCCTAGTTATGATTGAACAAAAAAAGAGGTAATTCCCGTAGCTAGGTAACTGTTTCCTATCTAGAGTTCAATCCCACTCTTCTCAGGCTTGCTCTTTGCACCCTTAAGAGTCTCTGGTGAGAAAACCACGTACCTGAACAGTGTCTTCCCATAGAACCCCTCTCCCCACTCCACCATGTTAAAGCCTCTAGGAGAGAGTTTTCTCAAAAGAATAAGGAACTAAAATCAGCACAAGCGTTTCACGGTGTCCATGCTTCCAAAAACTTGATCGGCAACTGTGATGGAAGATAAGATGGCAATAAGTCAGGACGGCTGCTCTGCCCCCTGGAGGGAGTGCCATTCACAGAATATCCTCGTATTGGGCAATATTCATGTGAGCCCGACTCTCCAGTCCCTGATTTCCAGTTGCAATCTCCCTAGCCAAAGTTTTCTTCTCCTGGGGTTTTAGAAGGAAAGGTGCTATTAAGCAGAAGATATGAATGTGTAAATGTTTTTCAAACACAATTGTCCCTCAGTATCCATGGATGACTGGTTCCAGGACCCTCTGTAAATACCAAAATCCAGGAAAGCTCAAATCCCTTATATAAAACAGCACAGTGCTTGCATACAACCTAAGCTCATCCTCCTGCACACTTTAAATCTTCTCTAGATTATTCATAATACCTAATACAATGTAAATTCTATGTAAATAGTTGTTACACTCTATCGTTTAGGGAGTGATGGCGAGAAAAGCCTGCACATATTCAATACAGACGCAATTTTTAAAAATATTTTTGACCTATTGTTGATTGAATCTGCAGATGGAGAATCTGCAGGTGAGGAAAGCTGAGTGTATTTTCCCTTAGGAGGTGCACTGTGTGGAGGAGACTACGTTACATAGAAAATAGACGGGTTTGGGGCCTGGGGTTGGTTGTGGCTCAGCGGTAGAGCGCTCGCCTAGCATGTGTGAGGCACTGGGTTCGATCCTCAGCACCACATAGATATAAAATACAGATATTGTGTCCACCTGTAACTAAAAAATAAATAAAAGGAAATGGACAGGTTTGCCCATCAGACTTCCTGCACCCCAAGCTCCACGATGCAGAAGTGATCTCTATAACGTGATTTGGTGTTGATCCAGAGAAGGAAGAACCGCTGGTCCCAACATCTCTCTGCACCATCTGAATATTGGCTCCAGGCTACAGCTTGAGGAGTTTGAGTTCAGCCTCTTCCCCATTAACATTTACAGAATGTGATTTATGTCCCTCAGAGAGTTGATTCCTTCTGCTTTATACAACTGGATAAGTCAAAAGGAAAAGGCAGAGACTCGTCACAGCCTTAAAAAATAAGTCGGTTGTTTCACTCATGCAGCATCACGGTCAGTTGCTAATGTACACACACACATTGGCCAAGGGGGATCATAAGCATAGGCGTAGTCAGTGTGAGCTCCATAGAAAGGGGAGGGCTGTGTCAGTAAGAACCGGATTCACACATAGTAACTGTTACCGTTTAGACATGAGGTGTCCCCCAAGTTCTTGTGTTAATGCAGGAATGTTGAGAGGTGAAGTGATTGGATTGTGAGACCTGTGACCTAATCAGTCCATCCGAGTTTGAGTGGATTGACTGGCTGGTAACTCTGGGCAGATGGGGTATAACTGGAGAAGGTGGGTCTCTGGGGGAGTTCCCTGGAAGGGTTGGCCTTCCCTGTGGGCCCCTTCCCCCTTCACTGCTTCCTGGCTGCTATGAGGGTAAAGCTGCCCTTCACCAAGCCCTTCTACTGTAGACCCAGAGCCTCACTTTGGACCCAGAGCCATGGACTTGGCCATCCACGGACTGA